CTAATGTAATAAGATAATAAATATACTGATGAATTAATAAGAAATTCACAATTTTTAATTAAAAACTTGTGTCTTCTATCAAAATTACTACTGGCGTGAATTTTGGGTCACCCGTCATAATAGCTTCATTTCATTTCATTGATTTATTTATTTTCTTATTATTGCTAATATTGTCATAATACAAGGTGGCGGGGAATAATAAATTATTTATTTGTTCTATTTATAATAAGTGTCCTTCGAAAATCCTCAATTTATGACATTCGCAATTTGCTATCGAGGACTCTTGACATAATTTACTATACCATACTTGGAAAACACTCTGGGAAATGTCTCCTAAAGAATAGCTTCGCTAAAGTAAAAGTCATAAATTGTGATAGCCATTTGCACGACAGAGAACCTTTTTGTGTGCGTATGCCCAGACGCTGCACAAGAAATAGTAAACAATACTAAAATACTGCTAATTATATAATATAATGCAATAATGCAATAAAAGAACTGATAATAGTATAATGTGTTATTTAAAAAATTAATCAAAAAATTAATATAGTTGATTATTTTCATTATGCTATAATTCATTTGCTCGTACATTTATAAAAATAAATATAGAAATTAACGAATTGTAAAGTGACGTCAAATTTGAGGAGATGTTGTAATCCGGTCTATAAAAATCGACATTTTGGGATTTTTTTTTCTAAAAAAAATATGATATATATTGGCATGCAGTAAAATTTATATACTAAAATAGTGCACTAAAGAACTAGTATCTGTTTGCTATCTCGTCTAACTGACCTAACTCTCGTCTTCCAAACTGACTCGTGTGTGAAATGATTCGACATGAGCCGCAGATTTGATTTAGTTTTTCTTACAAGTCGAGTGCAAGTCCTTCGAGTTGCAGATTTAGTTCAAACTCTACAGGCTTATAAACTTCGTCATACAGTTCAAGAATATATATTATTATAGTCGTAACTATTCAATAATTTTTTAGATATTTACGATTAAAGTTTTATTACATATTTAATTATACATTTATACCCAATATTTTTAAAGTGAAGTCGTGGCCTATCAGCAGCAGTCGAGATTCCTATGCTGAAGGACCAGGGTTCGATCCCATCCGTAATTTTTCAATCTATCTTTATTTTGTATTCATTTTTCACCTATGAAAACATTATAAATACACAATTGTAAATAAAATTTCTTAGTAAACAAATTTATTTTTTACCCTTTCCTATGCTAGTATATATTTATTACAAAATAATAATATTATGCAAGAAAAACACTTTTTTATAGCAATCTTATTTACTACTAATTAATTATTAAATTAAACATCGTATAAGAATGTTGCTTATAATTCCAAGTTTTCTGTGCAGCTATAAATGTTTATAAATTAATTACAGAAACTTGGAAATTTATTAATTTTCTACTGCCGAATAAATACAAATTTTACCGCCTGCGATCAGCGCCATCTATGATTTGGGCTCAAAAATCAAGAAAGTGATAGGAATATAGAATAGGCAAGGAGGTCGTCGATGGGCTGGTCACGTGACTACACGATCTTCCGTGAAAATATTTAATACTAATCGAAACTAGAAGCAAAATGTGATCAAAAGTTATATGGGAAGATTCGCAAGAACATTGTCTTTCTAACGAGTGCATAAAGTTTCATAAATTAATTACGTAGAGTATAGTAATTAATGAAAAAGCAATGGCGTCTTCGACAGCGATTCAAACACTGAGTAGATTAATAATTAATAATAAATTAATAAGGAACAAATTTATATGGAAAAATACATTGGAAAGTTCTTGAAGGATCTGCCTTTACGACGCAATTATAAAAGTTCATAAATTAATCCCAGGAATTGAGTAATTAGTGAATTTTCCACTGCCGATCTCGTTGCGGGACTCGAGCTTCGAGTCTACCATCACAGATGGCTCTGATGTTACTCGAATAGATTACTAACTCTGGTTATGTGCTCCGAATATATTTTAATATATTTTAATAAATGAAATCATTAAGTTTTCTACATTCTTAAAAAAATTCAGCCCCAACAGCGATTTTAATTAGGCAATCAGCATTCATTTCTTTATCTGAAAGACGACAAATATGCAAAGGTACGCCTTCACAACGCAATTATAAAATTTCATGAGTTAATCACAGAAATTGAGTGATTTGTTAATTTTTCTTCAAGTGAACAGGAGAATGCATAGGAAATGAGAAAAAATTGCAAACAGACGCCGGAAGCATTGTTGTGTCCATGCAGTTGTGCCTGCATTACGAATGATTTCGTAACGGTGACCATCACGATCTTCCGTGAAAATATTTAATACTAATCGAAACTAGAAGCAAAATGTGATCAAAAGTTATATGGGAAGATTCGCAAGAACATTGTTTTTATAATGAGTGCATAAAGTTTCATAAATTAATTGCGTAAAGGATAGTAATTAATGAAAAATCAATGGCGTCTTCGACAATCTTCGACGACAATTCAAACACTGCGCAGAACAATTATTAATAATTAATTAATTAGGGACAAATTTATATCGAAAAATATATGTGAAAGTTCTTGAAAGATCTGGCTTTAAGATGCAATTATAAAAGTTCATAAATTAATCCTAGATATTGCGTAATTAGTGAATTTTCCACTGCCGATATGATTTATTAAAATATATTCGGAGCACATAATCAGAGTTAGTAAACTAACATCAGCGCCATCTGTATCATAGATGGCGCTGATTGAAGGCGCGTGAATTTGAATCGATTATTATTCAAATAAATTAATTCGACATTGGAAAATTAACAAATCCTGAGTTTCAGTAATTAATTCATGAATTTTTATAGTTGCATCTCATCCTTTGAGCAAAAATTATTACAAAATAATTAATTAAAAAAGGAATTAATTTATCCAGAATTACCAAAAGCATCAAATGCATAAAAGAAATATGTATAATTTTCTTCCTATCTGAATAAAATCAATAGTAACTTTTGATAGAACAACTATAAATTTGCAATATTTTATGCGTGAGACCACTTTGGTAATTCCAATATTAAAATGAATTAAACTCTTGGTACAAAGATTATGCTGCATCATTTATTTAACTGTTTTGTACAAAACAAAACTTAATGTGTAATATTCATTATGTAATTCTTGCAGAGTTTACTTTCCTTGGAACGAACCTGCAAACAAAATTGCTCTATTACTTTCAGATGTCAAAGAATATTAGTTTCTCAAGAAATGTGTAATTCATATGTGAGATCTTTTTCCTACTCATTTTCTATATGCAGTTGTATTCATTGCTATTGCAGAACTCTTATTCTGTAGATAAGTTGCAAAATACACAGCTTCCATCCACAATTTCTTTTCCATTTCAGTCGTACAGGAGTACTCATGTTTTACTCATTAATATTCGATTATCCTTTCCATTCAATTGAGGTCTGTACAGTGTCGTAAAATCTAGTATAGTTACTATCTATCTCAAAAATTCTTGAATTCTCAACTGGTAAACCCTCCTGGTTCCAGTATCGCATTTAAATCTGTATGCTATTCCACTTTGCTTCTGCTGCTGCAATACAATTAAACAATCTCTATAATGCTTTAGCATTTAATTCCATAAGATAAATCCTCACAAAATTAGTAAAATGTAAGACTATCATAACATACCTGTTTCTATTCCAAATGTTTGTCTGTATAAGCTCTGATAATTCACAATGTTTTGTCTCCAACTGGCTTCTCAACCGTGTTCTTGTCTCTCCAAATGGAATTTACGATTGCTTGCTTCACAAAAATATCGTGCATTCTCCAAATCCTGTCTTAAGTACTCTTTTCGTTAATTTCATTTCCAATACTTTCTTGGACAACTCTTTCATATGCCCTATACATAGATTCCCCAATTTTCTGTGCCTCTCTACCAGCCTCTTATTCCTCTCTACTGCTATAAAGTCCATTATTACATATATGACATACAAATATTTCTTCTTCGTTTTTATGAACTATTACTTGATATTGCTTGAACATTGCTGCACTACCATCTCCAGTTATCAGCTTTACTGACAATAAATTCTGCATCAAGTGTAGAACACAAACAATATTCAAGTATTTGGCTGTATTCTAACTTTTGCTGTAGCTTTCATGGAAATATTTCTTTACACTGATCCAAATTCTGCTGTTATTTCTTCCTGTTTTTTAAAATATTCTAGTCTATTAACCGTATGGCTCATTGTTCCGGAGTCAAAAATCCATTATTCTGTTCCATCGTTCTCTATCAAGAAGTACGTGTTCCTTTTTTTATCTTGATCCTCTTTTCTTTCCTTTATGTTTTTAAAAATAACAGTCCAAATGATTTTCTTTCCAAATATTTGAAATTCTTACATGTCTCACGTGGAGAGTATATCTCTTAAGCCTTTTTCTTTTTTCTTAATCCTAGAAATGTTACTGATTTTTATTCTAATCTGCCACAGTTGTAACATTTAATTTCTATGTTACCTTTGTTGTTTTTCCAACATGCATATGCAACATGTGTACTGGAATTGTTCTTGAAACATCTCTTCCCCTGTCGTTTGAAGGCTACCCACCTGCTTTTCCCCTTGCTTCCTTTGCAATCAGTTCAGTTTTGAGATTTTCTATTCCCCTTTCTTCTTTCTGCGTTAACTCCCAGACATTTGCAAACACACAATCTAGAAACATACATAAGATTTTAGTTATCAGCATTGCTTTTTCTATCTTACTCTCTAATGCATGTAATTATAAGACTTATCTGTTTGACACGCAATGTAGGTTATAATATCACATTCAAATTAATATTTATACATGAAAAATTCCTCTGTAACAGAATATCCTTGGTGTTCTTACCCGTCTCATAGACATTACTGAATGTTACCCATACTTCATGACTTGACATAAGGTTGTTAAATGAATTCCTCCCCTCTGGTTGAAACTCAGATTCTGTACTTACACATTGTTTGTTAACCAATTCTGTTTGTACTTTTTCTATATTTCTTTGTTCCTTCATTGCATGTTCATACAAACCTTGAGATTACGGCATGAAGACCACTCTAAATTTCTAAATATGATATCCATATTGATACTTCCAATTTCCTTCTTGAATTTTGTTTACCACGCTCAAACATGTGGCTTACATTCTGTTGACAGATTATAACCCGTTGATTTATTCTTTTGCTCAGAACATGCTAAACCCACACACCTTCCTCCTTACATTACTCACCTGAAGTCTAAAGTCTGAATCCATCGTAAGTTCCATTGTCATCTCTGTGCTGGATTTGTTCTTTCTCTCAACAACTTCATTGAACTGCTGTATCTTGGCTGAAATCAAATCATGTTCTATTTCCTTCTGATGTAACCAAACCTGGAAGTATTGTCCCACAAACTCACCTCCATTGCCTGAACATGTAGGTACTTTTTAACTTCTTGACAGATTGATTTTTTTTTAATGCCACCAATCTTTTTATTTCCTCAGCTGTTTGACCTTTTTCCTGTACAAGCAAAACAATAATCACTCTCGAATAATCATCAGCAATTAAAACCTACCTTTTACCTCCTTTTGACATTGGCTTTATTGGCCCAATCAAGTCCATGTGCTACCTTTCAGTGTCACTGTATTCTCTGTATCTCTGTACCTGTCAAACCCATCTTTCTTTCTTGATCCTTATTTCACCAACAAATATATCTGTGTTGCATGTCAAATGGCTAGTCGACCTAGAATCCAAAAGACATATCATAACTTACATATTTATATTACTGCATCAATCTTTACTTGCCATAAAAAATAATTACTACTATAGTTTTGTCCTACTGCACGTGTCCGTATATTTCAACAGAATATTGTCTTTACACAATCAGACTAGGCTATAACTAACAAAAGATAGAAAAAGAATGGCTTATATCTTTCTTATTTACTTATAACTACTTATTTATTTACAACTGACGGTTATGTTGAAACGAAGACTTACATTCTTCGACATGATGCAGACACACCTCCATGGACATAACAATGCTTCCCACGTTTTTCTGTAACCTTTTTTTAATTTCCGGACAAAAACAGGCCAACTAATTAGGGAACGATCTGTTTTATTGAGTGATAGCAAAAGAACCTAATCAAAAGACGAAATTTAGGACTCTAAGACACGAAAGATAACGAAGGAGTACGACCTGTCACACTTTAATTCGAAAAAAATCGGCGAAAATCGAAAAGAAACCACTGATTCTGTTATAGAAGAGCCCGTTCTATCGAGTGATGTAGAAAAAGCCAAATCAAAAATCGGATTTTGGGAAAACTAAGCCACGAGAGATAATGACGCAGTACGTCTTGTCACGCCCTTCCACTTTCGGCACTGTATTTAGAAAGAGAACTGCGAAGATCGAAAGTGGGTCTGCTGATTAAAAGAGAATCTACTATAATACGTCATAAAATATTCTAATGCGGAGCAGGAATTTCATATATCTAAGCGAGGAAAGGTAACGGGGTAATTCGATTTTACACGCACTCATACTTCCATCACTATACGTCGAAAATGAATGGTTCAAATCGGAAAGAAATTGGCCTACTTATCAGGAAACATTCTATTCTAACGAGTGATATCGAAATATGGCAATGCATGATCGAAATTTCCAATATCTATACAATAACGATAACACGTAAGAACACAGCACAATTTGATACACACTTGCTCTTGCATCACTTTATTTCACGTATGTACCGTCGAAATCGAAGAAAGAATAGGAAATATATTAAGAAACTGCATGTGACGAGCAATGCTAACCAATATCACAGTGGACGATCGACTTCTAGAATCTACAATCGATGACACGTGACTATTGTGTTCTCTTGATTCGCACTTACATTAATTCATGGCGCACGTGTGTCGGTAGACGATTTGCACTATGTAACTTTACTTGTTTCCACATGTGTTATATTACTACCGATCAAATGTTTATAGTTAGTCATCCTGCTCTTGGTAAAGTTCTCTTGATTTCCAAAACTTCTATTGTGGTCCTGTCATAAATATCACGAAGATGTTACAAAAGTTCTTCAATGTTCCGAAATAATAACTGATACTGCGCATTATCGTTGTTGAATATTTATTTTGTCAGTTGCAGTAATTTAAACATTGATCAATGATGACACTACTGTACGAAATGTATTGTTCCGACACTGAAAATTTTACTTTAACGTGCGTAAACATTTGTCCACGTGTTACCCGCATGTTGGATTCGCGTCTACTAGAATTGGACTGCGATTGGACAAGCTATGCTTGTTTTCGCGGGAAGATGCTTTGTGTTTGAGATAGCCATTTGCCAAGGTATCGATGTGGAATATCAAACGTTGTCTTATACTTATTAATAACAATGACGCAAATAGTCTGTTATGAAAACAACAAATTAAAAAGTACATATTTTCCACTACAGAAAGCTTATGAATTAATAAAATTAATTATTAAATTAATTATAAAAATATATTCTATACTCATATATATATATGCATATATATGCATTAGTTACAAAATTTGATACATAAGCAATACGACCATTTTTATTGAACATATTTTTAAAAAATTCTATGAATGCATGATTAATAACGTGTGAAAGCATTCTTAATATATAATGTGTATACATAAGTTATGTAAATTCGTAAAATTTGTTAAAAATTTGCTTTTTGTGACTTTAAAATGTTGTTTTAAGCACTTATATATTAAAAGAAATTGTTAGGAAGAAGTAAATGACACTGTTATATTGTTTCTATAACGTGTACATGCAACTCATGAATTAATTGCATAGATGTTAGTAATTAATGGAAAACAAATAGCATCTTCCGTATGAATTCATGTCCTCTGTGCAATAATTATTAATAATTAATTAATTAAGGAAAAATTTATAAATGTACAAATTATTCTAAATATATATTTGCTTCTGATAATAGTTAGTTTACATTTCATTCAGATAGGAAGTCAATTACACATACTTATTTATTTTATTATTGTAAATATATATTTACATCTGACAATAGTTAGTTTACATTTCATTCAGATAGGAAGGTAATTATACATACTTCTTTATTTTATGCCTTTGATCCTTTTAGTAATTCTAGTGTTAAACTGAATCATATTCTTTAGTAGTACAAAGATTACGCTGTATCATTTATTTAATTACATTGTCAATACAAATCCTAATCTGTAATATTCCTTAGGTAATTCTTGCAGAGTTTACTTTCCTTGAAATAAATCTGCAAACAAAAAATATTGGTTTCCCCAAAAATGCATAATTTATGTGAGGTCTTTCTCCTACTTACTTTCCATATGGAGTTATATTCAAGCTGCAAAATACATAGCTTCTATCCACAATTTCTTTTCCATTCCAGATGTACAGGAGTGCTCGTACTTTATCCAATAATTTTCGATTGAGTCCTTCCTTTCAGTTGAGGTGTATACAGTGTCGTATAATCTAGTATAATTACTTTTTGTTTGCACTAATTCTTGAATTCACGACTGGTAAACCCTCCTGCTTTCATTATCGCATCTAAACTTGTATTTTATTCCATTTTGCTTCTGCTGCTGCAACATACTTAAACAACATCTGTAATGCTTTAGTATATGCTTCCATAAAATATATCAACACAAAATTAGTAAAATCCAAGACTGCCATCACATACCTATTTCTGTTGCATGTCCCTGGTTCTATAGGCCCACACATATATCAGAATATATAATTTCTAGCTGTCTTTTCATCCTTCTTTACCCTTGTTCTTGGCTCTGCTAATGGTGTCTTCAATTGCTATGTATAAAAAAAATATCCTGCATTCTCCAATTCTTGCCTTTTGTATTCTTTTCGTTACTTTGATTCCCAATGCTTTCTTGGATAACTCTTTCTTGTTCTCCATACATAGATGATCCAATTCTCTGTATCACTACCAGTTTCTTGTTCCTCCCTACTAGTAATGTTCTAGTCTGTATTTTTCCTTTTGATTCATCCATGCCATAAAGTCCATTAATACACATCTTGCCTACTAATATTTTTTTTTCCTTCTTACAAACTACTACATTATGTTTCTAGAACATTATTTTACCATCCCTAGAATTATCTTACCACATTTTGAGTTATCAGATGTATTGACATTAAATTCTGTTTCAAGTTTGAAACATACAGAACATTCTCAAATATACAGCTATCTAACTCAATTATACCTTTTACTATAGTTTCCATGAAAATATTTCTCTTTGTTAATCCAATTTCTGTTCCTGTTGCTTCTTACTCTTCAAAATATTCTAGCTTGTTCACCATATGGCTTGTTATTCTTGAGTCCAAAATCCATTGTTTTGTTCCATTGCTTTCTATCAAGAAGCACACTTTCTTCTTTTCTTCTTGATCTCCTTTGCTTTCCTTCATGTTTTTAAAATAACAGTCTTTTTCCAAATGATTAGATTTCTTACATGTCCCACATGGAAAGCACACTTCTTGAGTCTTGTCTTTTCTTCCTAATTCTAGAAATTTTTCTGATTTTTATCCTACTCTTCCACAACTAAAATATTTAATTTCTTTGTTACCTTTTTTTTTTCCAACATGCACTTGCAATATGTATGCTTGAGTTGCATTTGAAACACCTCTTCTCTTGAGCTTTGCAGGCTGTAGATCATTTTGATGATCTTGCTTTCTTGACAGTCACCTGAGTTGTGAGATTATCTATTCTCCTTTCTTCTTTCTGCGTTAATCCCAGACAGTTGCAAATACACGATCTGGTAATGTACATAAGATTTTAGTTATAAACATTGTTTATTCTATTTTACGTCCTAATGCATGTAATTTAAAAACTTACCTGTCAGCCTCGCAGTGGTGGGTCACTGTATCATGTTTTGCTGTTTTGTATCCTTCTCATAGATATTGCTTAATTTTACCCATATCTCATAACTTGATGTACAGATTGGTACATCAAGTAATAATACCTTCCCTACAATTAAAACTATCAAATTTTGTAATTATACATTGTTAACTAATCTTGTTTGCAGTTTTCTACATTTCTTAGTCCTTTCGTTATATGTCAATACAAACCTTAAGACCATAGCGTGAAGACCATTCTAAATTTTCAAGTATGATATCCATCTTGATCCTTTCATCTATTGATACTTCCAATTTCCTTCTCGAATTTTGTTTTCCTCATTCAAACACGTGGCGTACATTCTGTTGGCAGTCCATAACCTGTTGATATATTTTTTTACTTAAAACAAGCACAACCCACACACATTCCACCTTACATTACTCACCCGAGGTCTCCTTTTGTTTTCATCATTGCCACAATCTCATGTCATTCTCTCCAGTTATAGATTAATTCGCCGTTCACAATCGAAAATATCCATCACACAATTACCGTCCAATAACAGCATGTATCGGAAGCACATAACCAAAGTTAGTATCTGATTCAAATTCAAGCGCCTTCGATCAGCGCCATCTGTGATATTGAACT